GGGGGTGGGGGGGGGGGGGGGGGGGGGGGGGGGGGGGGGGGGGGGGGGGGGGGGGGGGGGGGGGAGAGAGAGAGAGAGAGAGAGAGAGAGAGAGAGATAATTAGAATATCGTTTGTTGATCAGCTAAAATAAATGTAAACATCCAGTATTCTATACTTTTTAATTACTTTTAATATGATTTTTAAAAATTGTCTTATATTTAGGGCATATAGTCTAATTTCCTCAAGACAAATATCAATTTATTTCATTATCAAATGTTATTTTTATTACAAAGCAAAAGACCCATTCATATATGGTTTCAAAGATTCTATCATAAGAAATAAATATCTAATGAAAGCTATTAAATCAAACCCTAATAACGTTTTCTTTAATACGCAAATTAAAAATCAATTCAAATAATATCTCTTATAATATTTCATAGGTTGGCCACCGTGATATCACTTCTATCGAAGTGGTGCTTCTAAGGTGATATCACTTAATTCCAAAGTGGTACTTCAGGGGTAATGCGTCATGTCCTATTGCCATGTGTTGGGTTTTGATACCCAATAAATTCGGGTAATGATGTTAAACCCTGTTTTGTATTTGGATTACTTCATAGGCCTTCGGCCGATGAGTGAAGTGTCGACACCACAATCCAACAAACCATTACTACAACTTATTTGTGCCATTTGAAGTAACCTAATTTCATTAGTGTTGCTCGTGGTCGGTCCATTACCTTGGATGGCTTGTTAGTTGATAACCCATTTACTTGGTACCTTTTGGGCTTTATTATTTCTTATTGGGCCAAACCTTAAAAGCATATATCCAACCTTTATATATGTGTGCCCCATTGCTGTTGTTAACTGTGTGTGACTGAATTGATTAGGCAGCCGTGAGTGTGAAAAGAGAGAAGTGAGGGTCGACTGACTTGGTGCATTCCCCTTAGCTTTGTGCTATCTTCTTCTCCCTTTCTCTTAGCCTTTGTGTGGCTGGTTATTGAGCCTTGAATATTCATCCCCAGTTGCCCTTTGTGGTTAGTTAAGAATGCAACCGGTTTGGGACGATAGGTGTAAGGTTTTGGTTGTTGATTGTGTTGTCGTTTGTTGAAGAAATTGAGCCCGAAAAATGGTTGATTGGAGTCACAAATTTCTACAATTGGTATCAGAGCTTGGGTGGAAGAGAAGTTTATGATTTTGAGTGAAAATGGGGGTTGGAAATTGAGCAGAATCGAACCAGAAATCAGGAGAAAAATTTGAGCAGTTTTGAAAAATTCCTACCGGACCTGGAAATGCGTTTTCCGAACAAACAAGAGGTCGGATGGAGAAACGGACACCACCTTGGATTCAGCAAGCTGAGGAATAGCTGGGTAGGTGGCGCGTGGAGGTGGTTCGGCGCGTGTCGCCTACGTGTGAGGCCCACGCGCAGTGCCCGTGACGACGCATGGGCCTTTCCCTAGAGATGTGTTCTTCAGACAATTTTTCCAAGACGTTGAGATGCACCTTGTGGTGTTGTTGGATTTAAATTTTGAGCAATACGGTGAAATCTGGATAATTTTGCATTTGGACGTTCAAGTGCGGGTGCCGTTTCATGTTGATGAAAGCTTTGGAGCGGATGCGGTAGTCCCAAAGTGATGAATTCGCAGCTCTCGATATTTACGGATCTTCAGACGTGGTCCGCTTGGTATCGTGTTTTTTGCCTTTTATTGTTGCAGTTAAAATTATTGTGTAAGATAATTTATTTTTCGCATTAGAAGTCATCGTGTGGGGTGACGTTAGGTTTGGGGTTACCGTGAAGTGGTAACAATTGCCTGTTGTTAGACCTAGGAATTACTTGTTAATTATTTGCTTTAAATTTTTTGTGAATTTGTTGTCAATTAAATATTTTACACTATTGAAATTGCACGTAACCTTAGGAAAGTTTACTTGACTATTCTGTGTGAACTGTGTCGGTACTTTACTTGTGATCGTTGTTGATTGCATTTTGTGTTCTGTGCATTTTTTAGTAAAATGACAATACATTATGAGTTGTGCATGTTTTAATAAAAATTGTGATTTTTTAATTTGGCGCAAATGAAAATGTTTTTCATAAAACTTTTTGATGGCAAATGTAGTCTAAGACAAGTGCGAAAATTAAGNTTAGGGATTGTCCTAAGAAGAAGAGTAAGTTGAGAGGTGATGCGAATTTGCTTATAGGGTCGAGTGATGACCCTAGTGAGATTTACTGAGTATAACCTTAGTTACTGCATTTGCATCTGTGTGTAATCCTTTCTGCATGTGTGTGATTGCTCAATTCCGTTGCATGATTATGTGTTGCACTTCAATGTGTTTGATATATACATTGGCATGAATTGGAGTGATCTTATTAGTTGGTGTAATTGTTAGCATGCATAGTGGGTTGATATATATAGCGTACTCTGTTTTGC